AAGTCACCCATTTGTGGTATTTTTGTTATAGTAGCACTAGATAACTAAGATATGTCTCATTCAGAATTTCTGGGGATGGGGATGTTATAAGTTATTATCTTATCAATAATTAACAACCTTTTTTTCAATTTAAGAAAGCATTTGCTAACTTCCAAAAATAAATAGAAAATAATATGCTTACTTAATCCTGCTCTGTACCATTACCTTAAGTATCAGGAGTTTTTGGTATTCTGAAATTTGCATGGTATGCAGCAGACAATATAGTTCTATATTTTAAGCAAAGTTAGGAAGTTTCCTAGTATTATGAATAAATAAAACAAGTTCAAAGTTCATCAGACCCCCCCCCCCCCCCAAAAGAATCTTATTTATCATGGGGAAACAGATATGCACACATAAGGCAGATTAAAATGGAGACTCAACTCAAGTGCTATGGGTTCAAAGAAGAAAAAGATGAGTTCATGAAGGAAGTAGCATCTGGGCTCAACTCTAAAGGTTGATACCTGAGTTATGTAGTGTTTTTATAACAGAAAGAGCACAAGTGGATGGCTTTAACAAAAACAAATTTATTCTGTTTAGGAGGCTAGCAATCTATAGTCAGAGCTCTGGCTCTAAAGTAACGTCTTTGTCTTCTCTCATCATCTGCAGGCCCAGCATTTCTTTCTTTTTTTAATAAATGTTTTATTGTGAATTATGTGATAGTTTACATGGGAGAACATTAGTTTTACATTCATTCTATTGTATATCGTTTAATTGCCATGGTTCCAATCCCCTCCATGCATCATCAACCAGAGACAAGCCTGCCCCCTGGTCATCAGCACACAGCCCTCTCCCTCTCTGGATCTAAAGTCTCCAACTGCTCCATCTCTCCATATCATCATCTCTGTCTCCGTCTCTGGTAGGCCCAGCATTTCTTGCATATCTCCATGTGTCTTGATATTAATCTTTCCCTGAATCTAGGAACACCTCTGGTATGTAGTTATGAGTTGGGCTGCTAAACTCAAGATCTGCAGTTTGAAACTACCAGCTGTTCCACAGGAGAAACATGAGACTTTCTGCTCCTGGAAAGATTTACAACCTTGGAAATCCTATCCAGGCCCACAATGAGTCAGAACTGACTCCAAAGCACATAACACCAATCAGGAACATCACAGTGCAGGGACCCCAGATCCAAAGATCTCCCGGCTCTTCTTTCTTGGTGGTGGGGTTCCTCATTCTCTGCCCACTTATTTCTCCTTTTATTTCTTGCAAAATAACAGGTGTTGCACGCCTTACCCCCAAGGAAACTTCCTTTCAATTGACTGACTGCTCATAGAAGATCACATCATGGAATTGATTACATAATATTCAATTGCATCTGGGAGATAACTACATCTTGACTGCTTGACCACTGAGAATCCTGGCCCAGTCAAGTTGACACAAAATCTTAATTATCACTGTTGGGTAACTACTTGATGGATAAGAAGAGATAGGAAAAGATTTCAAGTTATAGGACTAGAGACAAAAACATGGAAGCAGGAAATTATAGGTCAGTTTAAAGCCTATCCATTTCGGTGTTATTTAATTTAAACACACACACACAGAGTCCTGGTGTGGCACTGTAGGATCAGCACTGGACTGCTTGCCACAAGGTTGGTGGTTCAATCCTACCAGTTCACTCCTTGAAAACGCTATACAGGGTCTTCACAGTACTTAGCAGTATACTAGAACGGAGATCAAGATAAGACCATGGTAAACTCTGAATGCTAGAATAAATACTAAAATTTCATTCAGCAGGCCACAAATGTCATTCAAGGTTTTTAAGGGGGAGCATAACAAGATCGCATGAAAAGCTTCCCACAATTATCATAATATGTATAAAATGTATACATCTGCATGTAGATGTAGAAAGGAGTGGAACCCAGAGTCTAATGACAAAGGTCACCATGCATACCAGTAGAGCCTATACATAACTGAATGAAACTGACCTTGCATCTACTGTAATTTGTTTAACTGTAAGAAGTCCTTAGGTATTCATTTTGTACCCTAACTTTTCATAGGCTTCTTCAAGTGTTGCATTAATCATCATCCTCTAATAAAAGGCTTGTTTCCGGCGGATTGTATCGTGCAATCAGTAACCTACATCTCTCTCTATGCACAAAAGGGCTGTTGATGAAGAATGATGAAATATTTGAGGCATCAGCAGAATCCCCTCAGAAAAGATATGAAGATACTAAGAACTTCTCCTTTCACTTCAGAAAACATACTTGATAAGCAGATACAATGTTCAATACCTAAATTAGCAGGCACAGTGAATCCATTTATAAAGGACTAAGACAATAAGATTTATCTTATTGCTTCCTTTCCTTCCTGGTCATCAAATAACAAGACAGCTACCAGTCAAACGAATAAACAGTCCCTGGTTTTATGGAAGAGCAGTTGTTGCTGTAGGATAAGCACTAGTCTACTAACCTCAAGGTCAGCAGTTCAAACCCACCAGCCCTTCCACAGGAGAAAGATGAAACTTTCTGCTCTCATAAATATTCATAGCCTCAGAAGCCCTGTACAGATTTTCTATTTCAGAACTGACTTGATGGAATGTAACAACAAATAAATAGCCAATATCCATGCAAAGGGAAATGATTAAATAATCTCCAGTGTCATAAGCATTATGTGGCAGATTTTTCTCACTTCTCCAAGCATAAATTCCAACTGAGAGAGAGGAGTAAACCTTTCATTCTTCCTAAACAGAAATCCCAAAGCTGTGGGGGCAAATGGGGGTGGAGAAGGAAAAGAAAGAAAATGGAAAAATATCCTGCTAAATAAGGCTAGGTTTAAAATCAGTTCTCTCAGTTTTTGTGAAAAAATTCCCCCCAAATCCAAAGAACACTAACTGCTGCTTAGTTTGTCCCAAAGGATGCATAGAATTTCACTATTTTCCATCACCAGTGTAAGTAGCTGTCAGGATTTTCTAATTTCCCTTGGGACATTAGAAACCATGGAAAGATTAATCCTTTGCATAGCCTTGCACAGTTTAATAATATGTATGAAGATTAATCATGCACAGTACCACAATAGTACTGCACTGAGAGAGTACCTAACAGGATTAATAGCATTTTCACCAAGCAGAGGTTAGCATAGGTTTCAAGTGATTCCAAGCCCATCAGAATCCTCTGTCAAAACCAGCCACAGTTACAGCTAAGGGAACTATACAGCTTGGGATGAATAATTGAAGCTACTGTCTACCTTTTAATGTAAGAAACACTTCTGTTTCAAATAGGCTTAACAGAGAAATTTAGGTGAAGTTAAACTACAAGAAATTCTAGGACAGCTAGCAGGAGTCCTTGAAGCACTAGGCAGCTCAAATAGTGAAGTACTCACTGTCACACTGTTCCTAGTTAAATAGTACAGTTATCTCTCCCTACTGACCCTTCTAAAACCATAAGGATAAAATTTGCACTCATCACCAAATTTCAGTCTCTTCTTAAACAATAAGAGCAATAATTAATCTAGATTGGGATCCTTTTTTCTAAAATTAAAGAAAACTGATTCAACACCAACACAATACCTTTGAACAGAAAACTGCAGAGCTGAAGTTACAGTTTGAGTGAGTTAGCATTCGCTGTTTTCTGTTGCTAAGGACAGCACCATTTAAGATATAGGTAATTTACATACAGATTTTAATTTTGGGGTTTCAGTATTCCCTTTTTTAATAGGCATGCTGTAGATCTCAGTAGATTTTGGAATTTACCTGAAACATTTTGTAATATAGGTATTTCCTCTTCATGGGCATCGGGAAAGAAATCTACAAGGGATATATTTTTAACTATATAATGAACTTGAGAGCCCTGGAAATGTGTACAGCTAGAGGCATAGCTTTGGCTATTTAGTTATTAAAAATGTCATGTCAGCTAAGGCATCAAATAAAGAATTATTGTCCAAAGAAGGTATATTACACGATATGCAATGTTATCCCTTCGTACAAGTGAAATAGGAGTAAAATGACAAAGATTGCCAAAGGCAGAACAGTCACAAAAGACAGTGTGAAGGGAGATACAAGTGGATGGACCTAAAAAATGAGCTGTATGTAAATGAGCTTCAGGTTTGTCTAGTACCACCGAGGAACCATACTTTCCCTAGATTCAGTGCTGGGGATAGGGAGAGTATTCGAATTTCAAGCTGGGTTCTCAATTTAGGAAACTACAGAAAATACTGAGAGAAGGGATTGGTCAGTGGCTTTTGCAGACAGGGCAGTGATCTACGTAAGAAGTAGTGGAACCTGCAAGGAAAACAGAGCTAGGTGATCTGTAAAATGTAAAGAAGGAAAAGCAGGAATGAAAAGTACCCGGGATCCACCTTCAGAGAACAAGTGAATTAGAGAAGAAAAATGCAGAGCAAGTAGCGAGAATTCCAGGATGCTGGGGTCTGGTCTCTCCAAAGGCGGGTGCACGTGCGTAAGGTAGCCGAAGGGGGCTTCATTGCGCAGGCCGGGGAAGCAAGAGTGGGCACCCGAATCCCATCTGCTCCTCCAACCCCACATTCCCTTCTCTCTCCCCTTTGCGGGGCTGGGATGACTTTCTTCAAGCTCTCTGGTTGCTGAGAGAGAATCTTTGGCTCTCCTGAGGTTTGCGTTGGCGTGAACTACGTCCCCTTTTATCCTCCCTATCGACTGTGTGCTGGGGGGATGCCGAATACAGGAGGCTAGGCGTGTGTAAGGGAGAGAGGAGAGAAGCTTAGGGCTCCTGGAGGCCTTTAACCACTCAAGACTCAGCCGATGTGCCCTTCTGTAAACTTCCAGCTCTCGATCCAGACCCGTGCACAAGCCCGAAAATTCGGTTCCAGCCAGAAAATTATCAGTGGCACCAGCAGAGCCCTGGATGTGGTTGCTAGGGCTGCAGAGGGAGAAAGGAGGCGGGGTCAAAGTATGGGGGCAAAGGGGACTTCGTGGAAGTTGTCGCTGGCACCACAGAGACGTGGCCTGGTTGAGCCAGACTGAAGGAGAGAGGGGCCGTCCAGGGCCCAGGACAACCTACTTCCGTTCTCCTCACTTCCGGCTCCGCTGCGCTGGCTGGGTGCTGACTCCCGAGGCCGGGTTGAGAGGCCCCGGTCCGAGTGTCCTCGGCGGTTGGTCAGTGTGAGCCTGTGACAGCTGCAGTTGCTCCCCGCCCCCAAGGATCCGAGGTGCGTGGGGGGAGGGGAAGAAGGAAAAGACTTGGGTCGTGTTTCCGCTCACTTCGTGCCAGCCAAGGTTGAGGCGCTTCCAGAGAGCAGCAGCAGGGATAATCCTCGGCGTGAGAGCTGCCGGAATCCCAGCCCAGCCGACAGGTGAGGGAGGAGCAGGCCCACCAGGAAAAGACTGGGGTGAAAGCTGATCTGACTGACATGGTGACAGGACAGACGCTTTCGCGGTCTCGGACTTTCACAGTGCACTTCTTTTCTTGGTCTGTGCCATATCTGCTCCTCTGAGTCCACCTCTGAAACAGCAGTGTGAGGGGAGGACCAGCCTTTCCAGATTGGCACCCTGTCGGGTTGGCGTGCATTAGATGGAAAAAGCGGGCTGCAAGATTCAAGGTTTTCTTGGTGAAGTCTTGGAGTGGGCCATCTTCATGGTTGATGCCCAACCTTTATTTCTGTCTTCTCCCTGCATCACTTCCCCCACTTCCTTTCTCCTGCTGGGAGAGGAAAGGGGATAGTGATAGTCCCTCTGGGCGGTTCTCCTGGCGGGGATGAAGGGAGGAGCGTTGCCTGTGAAATGTCCCAAGTCTGACTGTACTTGTGAAGACGTCCAGAATTGCTGGAGTTTGGGAAGGGAGTTGTTCCCTTTGCCAAGTTACTACTGTTTGCGTGTCTAGGAAAAAGGAAAGAAGATTTTTTCCCCCCTTTTAAAGAACAATCTACGCGTCTTCCTTTTATTTTCTTTCATAAGGAGCCCTGGTGGTACAGTGGTTAAAGCACTCAGCTGCTAACCGAAAGGTTGGCGGTTTGAATCCACCAGCAGCTTCACGGAAGAAAGACGTGGCAGTCGCTTTCCATAAAGAGCATCCTGTGGCTCAGTTCTACTCTGACGGAATCAATGGCTGTAGGTTTGGTTTGGTTATTATCTCATTTCTAAGACTTTCTATCTCGAAAAGTTTTTGTTTTTTTTTTTTTAATACTTCCTGCAGCTTCGCTAGCCTCTAGCTTCTCTAGCTTTTAGAATTTCTAAATCCCTCGTTTTGTCCTAGATAAAAATGTATATAAAATCGCTAACCTGGTTCTCTTTTTTTACAAGGGAAAAAGGAAAAGTTATAGAGCTTTTCATAAACTTGTACTTTCACTTGCAAGTGCATGTTCATGTTATAGTTTAATTTAATTTCATTGCCATATAAATGTGTGCCAGAGTTTAAGTTGAATCAGCCCTGTGTTAAGGTTGCAGAAATTGATCATTTCATCGCTCTATCTCGAGCACTTAAAAGCATATGTTGTTGGTGCGCTGTCGAGTCAGTTAGACTCATAGCTACCCCTTATAGGGTTTCCGAGAGCGTTTGGTGGGTTTGAACTACTGACCTTGCCTTAGCAGTCCAGTGTTTACACGACAGCCACATCAAGGCCCATAGCTGACTATGGTGGTGGTTGTGTGTCATTGAGTCATTTTCGACGCAGTGAGTCTGTATAGGGTTTCCACAGGAGCAGAAATTCTGCCTCATATTTCTCCGGCCTGCAGAGCTACTGGCAGACTCGAACATCTTACGTTACAGTTAGCATCCCGGCTCATAATGCACTATGCTACCTATCATGCTGTTCTAATCACTATGCTCCTATCTTACTGTTCTAATTCTACTCTTCATTTAATTCTGTGTTGTTTTCCTTACTCAAGTTGACTAACACCCTCTCCCCACTCCCAGCTACCCAGTCTCACTCTCATTATCTGAGAAAATGGTTACAATCGTATCTTATTTTCCCAATCAAAAGCCCTGTCATAAAATCTCGGTTCCTTTGCTTCCCTTCTAAATTGTTAATTTATTGTTAGTTAGACTGATGGTTTGCCTTTATTCTAGGTTTTGATTTTGTGGTCTATGGTTTAGGGATCAGTGACTTTCAGGGATAGTTCTTATTCTCACGACTGAAATTATATACAAAGATTTGTTTGAATACCATCCCCCAAGTTCCCTGTAGGGTAGCATGGTAGCTCTATAGGATTAGCACTGAACTGTGAACCCACAAGGTTGGCGGTTCAAATCCACCAGCTGTTCCTCAGGAGAAAGATGAGGCTTTATGCTCCTATAGATATTTATAGCCTTGGAAACCCTATACAGGTTTCCTATGAGTCAGAACCAACTTGATGGCATATACCACCACCCTATAAAGTTCAGTCTTTTAATCAAATTTTCTAAGGGAATATATAAGTCCTGGTGTGGCTCTGTGGGCTAATGCATCAGACTGCAAAGTTGTTTGAACTGTAAGGTCGGTGGTTCAAGCTCACCATCTGCTCCTTGGAAACCCTATACAGGGTCGCTGTGGATTGGAATCCACTCAACGGCACTTAACAAGAAACTGATTTAAAGCCATTTGCTTCTTAGGCAGGGAGGTTAGTTGAGGCTTGTGAAAACATTTTTGGGTGAAGCTGTTATTTCTCCAAACTGTAAATGACTTATTTTAGGACTTAGGATAATAGAATGCAGGAATTCTAGCTTGTACTAAAATTCTAGAATTGTAGTACAATCTCTACCTCTATAAACGTATCTAAGTTCCTTTCTAGACCTAGAAAAGGAAGTAAGAGTGTGTATTTATTTAGTTCCTGATTTGTGGTTTTGAGATTTCTTTTTAGGGATAACTGTGTCCAGTGATCTGGAGATCCAGTAAGTTTTGAAATTGATGTGTTTGTGGTTATTTTAGACATGCTAAATATCCTCAACCTACTAGGTACAGTTCAGAGTAAAACATTTAAATTATGCTTGTACTTTGCTTTGCTTTTCTCCCTGTGCACCTGAGGCATATATCTTGGGCTTTAGCTTTGCAAGTAAGTTGTTTCAGTGGTGTGGTCCTTCAACCAGTGGTAACCTGCAACTTGTCTTGATAGCCCTTCTCTCCATTTTGTACTAGGTCTTTTAATGATTGTTTCTCATTAATTAATAATTTGCTGTAGGATAAGCACTGGACTGCTACTGCAAAGTTGGCAATTCAAACCCACCAGCCGCTCTGCAGGAGAAAGACGAAATTTCTACTCCCTGAAGATTTACAGTCATGGAAACCCTATACAGGGTTGTTATGAGTTGTAATTGCCTCAGTGGCAGTGGGTTTGGGTTTTGGGTCTTGGGTCCAAATTAAAGTTTGGAGTGCTTGTTCTATCTAGATTATTGATTTGATTGTGAAGTATGTGCTGATTGAGAGTATGAAAATCTAAATGTTTGACTTCTGTTTAATAGAATGTTAGAACTTGAAGAGACTAAATATCTCATCATAATCTATGTAGAATAACCAGCGTCCCCCTCACCAAGTCCCCCACCCCAAATAACTTTTCCTGTGTCTCACATCATCCTGGTGTGGTGCTGTGGGTTAATGCTCTGGACTGCAAGGTCAGTTTGAACCACAGGGTTGGGGGTTCAAGCTTACCAGCTGCTCCCTGGAAACCCTATACAGGTCGTTATGAGTCAGTACCAACTCAACAGCACTTAACAAAATGCATCCTTACTTGGGTAGCAACCAATATCAATTTACAAATAATAGATTATGCTAGACTAGTGTTGTCCTGGTACGGCACTGTTGGATTGCTAACCATATGGTTGGTGGTTCACCAACTGGTCCTTGGAAACCCTATCTATACAGGGTCTCTATGAGTCTGAA